CCTCTGATTACCCCCTCCTTCATTTTCCCCTTCCTTCTCCTAATGTCTCCATGCTATTCCTTATGTTCCACACAAATAAGTGAAACTGTATGATAATTGACATTCTCTGCTTGACTTATTTCCCTTAGCATGATCTCCTTTAGTTCTGTCCATGTTGATGCAAAAGTTGGGTATTCATCCTTTCTGATGGCTGAGTTATTAATATTTCATTACATATATGGACCACATCGTCTTTATCCATTCATCTGTTGAAGGACATTTCAGCTCCTTCCACGGTTTGCCTATTGTAGACATTGCTGCTATGAATATTGGGGTGCAGGTGGCCCTTCTTTTCACTACATCTATATCTTTGGGGTAAATACCCAGTAGTGCAATTGCTGGGTCATAGGGTAGCTCTATTTTTAACTTCTTGAGGAAACTCCACACTGTTTTCCATAGTGGCTGTACCACCTTGCATTCCGACCAACAGTGTAAGAGGGTTCCCCTTTCTTCACAACCTCTCCAACATTTGTTGTTTCTTGTCTTGTCAATTTTTGCCATTCTAACTGGTGTAAGGTGGTATCTCAGTGTGGTTGGTTTTAATTTCCCTGATGGCTAATGATGATGAACATTTTTTCATGTGTCTGTTAGCCATTTGTATGTCTTCTTTGGAGAAATGTCTGTTCATGTCTTCTGACCATTTTTTTGACATTATTTGTTTTTTGGGTGTTGAGTTTGAGAAGTTCTTTATAGATCTTGACTATCAGCCCTTTATCTGTAGTGTCATTTGTGAACATCTTCTCCCATTCCGTGGGCTGCCTCTTTGTTTTGTTGATGTTTCCTTTGCTGTGCAGAAGCTTTTTATCTTGATCAAGTCCCAAAAGTTCATTTTTGCCTTTGTTTCCGTTGGCTTTGGAGATGTGTCTTAAAAGAAGTTGCTGTGGCCAGTGTCAACGAGGTTACTGCCTATGTTCTCCTCTAGGACTTTGATGGATTCCTGTCTTCCATTGAGGTCTTTCATCATTTAGAGTTTGTTTTTGTGTATGGTATAAATTTCCTACTTTAATAAAATGTGCAGCTTCTCTCTTTTTCACATAAGGCTAAGCCCTGATCAGTTTTGTTGTTGTTGTTTTTACTTTGTTTTTGTTTTGTTTTTGCAATCTCTGGAAAATAATTCCAAATTGCATTACCTAGTATTTGTTTATTTAGTTAAGTAATTTCGAAAATTCCAGTAGCTGGATTTCTAGGTACTTCCTACAACAGCTCATATTAACAAACCCTTCACACATCTTTCCTGGCATTTTCTTCTTTGTTCTTAAGGCCCACTTATTATTGCTTATGGTTAGGTAGCCCCTCTCCTTCTGTCCTTGAATACCCTGATAAATTTCTTCTAGCATTTTCGTATTTTAAGATTACATTCGATATAAGTTAAGTGATAAAGCACGTGGAAAATGAGCAAGATACATTTCCTCTGGCAAACATCACTTTAATGTATTTTCAATTCGTACATGTGTAGAGACTTCAGAATACTGTCGTTAACCACAGTGGTATCCCATATAGTTTTCTCAGGCTCTCATAAAATATAAGCAGTATTTCTCACACAGTGATCCATGTCTTCTTTAGAAATCATGCTCTTCTTATCTCTGTGAATCTTGTCTCAAGGACATGATTCTATCCACTTTCCATTTATATATATTAAATCATTCATTTAAAAATATTAATTTTCAATACCCTTGGAGACAATAGAAGGTACCTTAGATAGTTATACTGTAAAGTTAGATTTTACTTGTTTTTATTTTATTGTTTTAGACATCCCTGGATTAAATGATTAGCCACTACGTGTCAGCGTTTGGCCTTTATTTTTAAAATCTGCTTACATCGATTAGAAGGATTTTTGTATATAAAAAATAGGTCATCAATGGAATAAGCATAGATCATCTCTTTAACAGAGTGTAAAATGAAGATGTGTCTTGTGATTCACTTAAACTGAAATATAAAGTATAGGATTTATAGGTTTCAGTGATACTTTAGATTGATTACACTATCAGTACATTTTACTATATGTCTTTTTATTGCCTTTTTACGTTTTTGAAAAAATAGTACATACAACTTATTTTTTTTATCATCTGAGTTACTTTAGGACAAAATAAAATAATTATGTCCAATTTTACTTCATGGTGGACTTTGGGATGAATTTAAATATGCCTAATAAATAAAATGGTAATATTAATTTTAATTCAATAAATAGCTGACTAAACATCCCTTTCATCAGTTTAAATACAATTTATAGGGGCACCTGGGTGGCTAGTCATTTAAGTATCTGGCTCATCATGATTTTGGCTTGGGTTGTGATCTCATGGGATGGGGAATCCAGCCCCGCGCTGGGCTCTGCACTCAGTGGATAGTCTGCTTGAGATTCTCTCTCTCCCTCTTCCTCTACCCCTCCCCCATCAAATAAGCAAATAAGTATTTTTAAAAATATGATTTATAATATTACCCTATGCTGTGATTTATCTTTTTGTAACTTCTGTTTCCCAAGTACTCTAAGGCTGCCTCTGTTTAGGGATTTGACACCAAGTCCCCACATAAAATTATATCTGTGACCACAATCCCCTTCCATTTTGGAACTTTTTCAATGTAAGAAATAATGCCAACATTCTTCCTCTGTGACCGTTTTAACTTTATATTTATACTATTGCTGCAGTTAGATATAATTTTTCATTTCTGACACTTAGAATGCTATACCATTCTAATTTTTTTTTTTTTAGATTTTATTTATTTGACACAGAGAGAGATCACAGGTAGGCAGAGGGGCAGGAAGAGAAAGAGGGGAAAGCAGACTCCCCGCTGAACAGAGAGCCCGATGCGGGGCTTGATCCCAGGACCCTGAGATCATGACCTGGGCTGAAGGCAGAGGCTTAACCCACTGAGCCCCCCAGGTGCCCCTATAATGCTTTACTATTCTAAATGATAGCATACCACATCCACCCAGAAGATAATGTGATGTGATGCCCAGGCCTGTGACATTTGGGGATGCTGTTGTGAATGGCCTTGGCTGGCACATCGCCTTTCCAGGAGAGCTCATATCCAGAGATTGATCAACATGGAGTCCTGTAGACTAAGTCACTTTCATCCAAACTTAGACAACCTGGAAGGGCCACTCTAGCTTCAGAGCTCCCCAGGGGTTGGTTGAAACTTTCATTAGGACTGCACCACAGCCTGCTTTCTCCCTCTCTGCACTTCTGCTTCCCTTTCTTCTCCACAGTTAATTCCCAAGACTGCTTCTTAATAAACCTCCTTCCTGCTAATCTCCATCTCAGAACCTACTGCCTGCAGTTTTTCTGCTTATAGCATAAGTTTAAACTCTCTTGTACTATATGGATGTACATGCCCCAGTAACAGAGAGGGCTTCACCCTTAATTTGAACTTCTCCATTGAAATCTTCTCTTTGGGAAGCCAACCAGGTTAGTGATAACATTGCTTGCAAGCACTGAACTGAAAAACAGCATGAAAAGGCAGTTTTACTAAATGATATGAAAGTCTCTTGAACTTAAAGCTTGAACTATAAAAGCACCAGAAGCAAAATTCTTGGTGCCACCTACAATCTCCTTGTATCATTAGTTTCATAACAGGACTCAGTTCCTGGCCACTGTGAGAAATAGATAAGTTATTTCCTTTTATACAGGGGAAAGTAGTCCCCATTCTTGATCCCCTTCCTCCAGTCTCTACCCAAATAGGCACCCCAGCTGGAAGTATGTGTGGAGATGAAGTCTGTCCCAACCCCATCACCTAATAGTTCAGATCCACTGAGCAGCCAAGCCAACGTTGTCCAAGATTTTCTCTTTATTAGAAAAGCCAAAGCTTGTGCCTGGTTGGTGTCTGGGGTTGGTCTTTCCTCCCTACACCCAGTACAGTAGTTAGTAGAGCTAGGCACTAACAGCCACTGAGATCACAGGCCCAAGAAGTAGAAGCAATTTTAAAATGTCAAAGTTTGTCATCATTTCTCTTCCCTAGAACTCTGACAAAGTCTTGTGAATCTTTTCCAGAACCTAGACACTATCATTCCAAACTATCACTCAGGTTCTGAAAATTATCAATCTAGAAGTATCTGCTGTTACATTTAACTGCCTGTGGACCTGGATGCTGACTGGACATAGCCCAAGTCCGCCGTAGTTCTTTGGAACTACATGGACTGAAGACCAGTCCTGGGGGTATCATACAGAAAACCAAGTTAACCCCTATGATGGATCTTGCATCATTCTGGCTGCTTCTATCTCTCCGTTGCTGAGATCCAGCCCATGTTGTAATTGTTTTTCCTCCTCCTTTCTTCCCTCCCTTTCTTTACCCCTTTTTCTTTCCTTCTGTCCCTAAAACATCTGTAGGATTTTTGTTTGAGGGACTACCCAAGGTACAGCTGCATCTACCTAATGCTGTAAGGATCTTGTGTGTTGGGGGCCCAATAGTTTGCTTCAGGAATCAGTGCTTTGTTGATGAGGTCCACTTGGAATGTCTGCAGCTGGTTACTCTGCTGGAGTGTGTGGTGTGTCTGAATATCTAGATCAATGGCTGTCCAGGCCAGAGTTTTCCTCTAACTGAGGTCCACTCTCAGCCATTCAGGGCATCTAGATATCAGTAGGGAAAACCTTTGATGTCTCCATCTCTTCTCACCATCACTTGTAGGTGCAAAGTACAGATTTCCTTGTTACAAGTGGAGCCTATTTCAGTTCTATTGGAGATACCTAATCAGGGATTCTCTTTTAGCATTTCTCCATCCACTTCTAGCCCAATTTAGAGTTTAAAATCTCATCCTGCCTGACCCAATATTTCTCTAAGACAATATATTTTTTTAATTTTAATTAAATCTTGCTTATCTTTTATTTGTCTTATTTTAATTAGAGGTGATATTTGTTAACTTTGATGAAATTGGAAAATAAAAATAGTCACCATGAATAACCACAGCTAATATTCTAATATATTTACTTTGTTTTAAAAAATGAGTGGAAACATAAGCATGCACACACACACCCCAAGACCTATACACAGTGTACATAACAGCTAAAATGTACTGAGCAGTTATGTTCTGTTAAGCATTTTATATATGCATTTGATCTTCACAACCACCATGTGAAATTATGAGAGAATTGTTTTTATTTTTGCCTGCAGGCATCCATCTCCCTCACCCTCCATCAACCACCCTGTAATTTCACCTTGGTACTAGTCCTGCAGAAGTATCTGGGGACCTGCTCTGTGTATGGCAAAGGGCTGAACACATATCCTATGACAGTCCAATTGGACACCTTCTCTGGAACTTGAATCTTGAATAGACGACTGAGAAAAACTTAGCAACCATTTGCTCATGTTCATCTAGGTGGTGTTCTCCTGAGAAGACTTCCATAGATTTGTTACCTGCCTCTGATGAGCAGCTTTGGGACCTGCTCTATCCCATGCTGGTTTCTTCAGATGCTCCTCTGAATCTGTAAGATTTCTCATATCCTTGCAAAAACATTGTTCTTTATAAAGTTGCCCAAGTTTGATTTCTCCCACTTCCCACCAAAAAATCCATAACTAATGTAGGAATACATAGAAATATACAAGTATTATTCTATTTTGCAGAGACAAACTGAAACTTACTGAAATGAACTGACTTGCTCAAGATCACCCAGGCAATAAGAAATCATCAGGTCTCCATAACACTAAAGTTTGTGCTTAATTCTAACCAACTCTCTTTTCAATCTCTTTCTGTACAGATACACAGATGTGTGTGTGTATAGTCTTCTATGTATTCTTCCATATTAAGTTCTAGCCATATTAAAAATTTAATCATTTTCATCCTACAGGTTTTTGTCTGATAATAAAATCACCAAAGAAACATTTTAAATTACTGTAAAGTATAAAGAAGGTAAAACTTACGAATTATTTCAATACCCTGATATCATCAAAATTACTATTAACATTTTGGTTTGTTTAGTCTCTCTACTCTTTCTCTCTCAGTGTGTATATATACACTCACATGGATACAAAAATAGGGATCCATACACATACAGTATATATATAACAGAGGGAGAGAGCCATACTGTATAAACAGATTTATATCATCAATTATTTCTTTTAGTAGTATTCTTTAAGCCTTTTCCTGAGCAATTAAACTTCTTTCAAAATATTTTAATAGCTACAATATATTTCATTGTATGGATATACCATAATGTATTTAATCACTCTTCTTTCAGACATTTAATGGCTGTTTCTTTTTTTACTTTGATAACTAGCACTGCAATCAACAATTTTGTTTGCATCTGATTATTTTCTTAGAATAGATTCTGGAAGTGGAAACTATTGGTTTAAACGCTTTGAGGATTTTAAAGATTCTTGATATATATTGTCAAAAATTTTTCAAAAGATTATTCCAATTTAAAACCCCACAACTAGTGTTTAAAAATCAGTTTCATTCAGTGCTCCAAATATAGATGCCAACTTTTGGAAATGAATGTCAACAGTTGGAAAATGACAGACTATTTTGTATTAGGCACTTTTAAAATATATATATTTCTCTGATTATAAAGTAATACAAACTAATTGCAGGGTGAAAAATACAGATTATAGAAAATAATCCCTTTATCCATAGATAAAAATGACAGTCATTTAAGGAACATTCCTTTGTCATCTTACAGTGCACGTATTAAATAAAATTTTGAGATCATATGGCTCATACTTTTAATACATGAATTTTCAATTTAATGTTATATATCATGATGAACTTATATTAAATATTCTCCAAAGCATTATTTTTATTAGTTGCCAAATATTGTATCTTATAAATTGGCTATAATGTTGTTAACCTTTCTGGCTTATTGTATGTACATTGATCAGCATATATAGAATTGCAATAGATAACATTGTTCATAACCTCTGACTACATTTCTGATTATTTCAATAGAATTTATGACCAGAAGTGGAATTATAGAATCATGGGTTTAAATAGCATGGATATTTTAAAGTTTCTTGATAAATACTGTAGAAAATTAGAAAAATTATTCTAAAATATTTGTTCCAGCTTTATATGAAAGAAAGTGTGCTTCACTCTTCTGAACATTATTTTTTTCATTGTTTTATTTCAATGATTCATGTTTTGCATTTTTCTAACCTTTTCATATTTGCTTGAATTATTTGTATTTCTTCTTTAAATTCACTGATAATGTCCTTCACATATTTTTCTATTAGATCCAGTATCATGAAGACAACTGAACATCCTTCCCTGAGGATCTATTCTCTGCTTCTACAGAGCTTAGAAGGATGACTCATTTGCCCCCCAGTTACTCTTCTTAAATATACCTAGTAATTCACTTGTGACTCTTAATGATAAGCATATATGATTGAAGTAACTCATATTTCCAAAGACTATTCAATTCATAAAACTCTTTCACATCCAGTATCAGTTTTGTCCCTGTGAGGGAGACCGGGAAGGTTAGTGTCATTAGCATCACTGTAGAAATGTAGACCTTGGGTTCCACAGCACAAAGCAGTGGGGAGTAAAGTCACGACTAAGACCAGGTCTTCAATTCCTAGATCTTTTCCTCTTCATTAAATTACTTTACTGATGTTGCTAGTGTACAGAAATATAAAATGATTCCACATGGGGTAAGAAAGTTCTGGAATAATGTTAAGAGACTTGATAGCAAATGCAAGGACTCTATTTTTAGAATGAGACTGATTTACATTTGATGGCTTTTAATTGCAGTCATCCATCAGTTTTAAACTTTAAATGTCTAAATATAAAGACGCGGCAATATAACTGAGCCAGCTGCATTTTTACACAGCGCATGAATTGATGAGTTTATGAATGAGTGAAGTGATGGAAATCAACAGCAAGATTAAGAATATCCCAACCCATTTCAACTGCCTAAGCCATACATCAGTACCTTGGAGAGCTTCCAACTTTAAGTCACCCCCCCCTTCTCAAAAAAAGACAGGTTTTCAAAACCGCCATGGAAAAAAATATTTCATGTTTTTTGAAAAAGATGATTTCATTTTCCATTTTCCTACCTGAAAATGGTCCTCCCTTTTACCCCATTTAAAATAAAATTAACCGTGGCTTGTGATCTCGTGAGAGCTTATTTAAACAGCTTTATGGTAGTTTTCCCTCCTTAGCAAACACATTTCTTTCCCGTCTGCAAATTAAAAGGTCCTTTGCCAACGAACGCCCAGGAGATAATCAGCTCTCCCTATCGCGAGTGGTTTTTATTCTTGGGTAGGATCTACTTCTGAAGACATCATGGCAGCAGAGCGTGGGTCTCCTCAGGTGTAGTCAGGAGCTGCCCTACCTCGAGAAAGGAGGCGCGAAGATGCCTGAGCCCGCCCTGCTTGCGCTTGGAGCCCCCCTGCCTCTTCGCCCTTGGGGCTGCGCGAGCTTCAGCCTCTACAACGCTCCCTGCGCACGCGCGCTCCCCGCCCCCGTCTACACCGCACCTGCCAGGTCACAAACCCCTTCCCACCCTCTCGCGCTCCCTCCCGGAGGCTGTCTTGTCTCACATTGATTGGTCAAAGCCAAGAGGGTGCGTCCAATCAGCAATCCCTCCTGCGCAACCTATCCCCGCTCTTCCCGCCCCCTCCCGCCCCGCACGCCCCTCTCGGGCACCTACTTTCTTTGTGACTGGTGCGCGCTCTGGTCACTCAGTGCGGCGGGGAGAGGTGTGCGGGAGTGGGCGGGAGGTGGGGGAGGAGAGGGAGCGGAGGGAGGGGAGGGAGGGGAGGAGAGGGGGGGCGGGGCAGGGAGGGGCGGAAGGGGGCGGGGCTCAGGTGCAGAGCCGCGCAGTCTGGCCAGACCGGGGAGGGGGCGAGCCGCGGAGCTGGGCGGAGCGGGGACGGGGGCGGTGGCGGTGCTGAGGAGGGGGTTACGCCGGCGACGTCGGCAGCGCGAGGTTCCGCGCGTGAGCCGCGCCGGCGCTGGGCCTGGCTACCGAGCTTTCCCGGCCGGCGCGCAGGTCGTCGACGCCGGCTCCTGGCGGAGCGCGGGGAGGAGGGAGGTGTCGGTGTCAGCGGCGTAGTCGACGGCGGCCCCGGCCATGGAAGAGACGCAGCCGCTTTCGCAGTCCGAGCTGCCGCTGTGCGACAGCCTTATCATCTGGGTGAGTACGAGAGGTCGAGGGGTCGAGGGGGCCCAGGGGCCCAGGGGCCCAGGCGAGTTGCCCGGGACCCCCGGCTCTCCGCAGGTGAGCCTGAGGAGTGAATCGCGCCACCTGCGCCGCGGACTCGGCTCATTGCCCTCCGTGTCTCCCGTCGCCCTTGACCGCGAGAGTGCCACCTGCGGGTCGCGAGGCAGGTGTGTGTGTCTGTTCGAGAGTGTGTGTGTGTTTGTGGGAGACGAGGGAGGGGTAGAGGGAGCTCTGGAGGTAGGGACGGAGAACGCTCCTCTTACTCCCCTGATCGTGCTTCTGACAGCTGTGGCTGGAGCCTAGTGTCCATCCCCTTTACTCCTTGCCGCCCTATTTTCTCCCTCTGAGCCACCGACTCTCTTGCCTTCTGTCTGCTGAACAGCCTTCCTATACGGATCTTTGTGCCACTCGGGAGCGAAGGCCCCCTCCGAAACTTCCCTCCCACCGGAACCACTTTGCTCTGCTGGGACGCAGGTGGCCAAGAGATGGTTTTGGTTCCTAAATCTTAAGAGCTCCTCCAGGATCCCAGGACATCTGATTTTGTAGAAGGCATTTAGAAGGGATATTTGCACATATTTCCTGTGTGCAGAAAAAGATATGTTGGGGTGGGGGCTTATATTCCCCTTTTCTTGCTGCTGTCCCCTTGAGTGGACAGCATTTTCTTAAAGAAAGAGACTTGGCATTTTCGTTTGCACTTTGTGCGTGTTTACAGTTGGTGTGTGTGTGTGTGTGTGTGTGTGTGTGTGTGTTTTAAGTAAACTCTGCGCCCAGGAAGGCTTGAACTTACAAACCTGAGATGAAGACCTTGACACTTAACCCACTGAGCCAACCAGGCGCCCCTGTGCATGTTTAGTATTTCTAATTAATTTGTTTTAGGTTTGGACAGGCAGAATCTGTCTCCAGTGTTCCCCTCAGTAAAATGATGTCTCACCTTTTGGAGGTGCTCAGCCATCAAGAGAGCTGGCATTTGGGTGTAGTTTATAAACCTTATCCGGCAAGGTTGATACTTAATGGTGTGTCCGCAAGGTGCTTTTGATGGTGCCCATCCCCAAACTTGTTGTTTACTTGTGTATAGAGGAGTATGTACACAATGGGATGTATACAGACTGGATCAGGAGGTAGTAATTGGTTGATGAGATTCCCTAGCAATCTCCTAATTTGAGTAATTCACAAGAATGAGAGAAATCAGAGAAGATTTCTCGCCCTGTATGAAGTCTACTGGAAATAACCGTAATTTAAAACAGTGTAGAGGTAAATAGCTTTTGTTATAAGTGGAATACAAGTATATAGAGTTTCTGAGTTAAAAGCAATTAGCTAACTGTTCATCTGTATTTTCATTTAAAATAAGTATTGGGATTTAGATGCTGTATTTTAAAACTGTCATGAAATAAGGCAACATTACTTTTAATGAGGTGTTTTTGGCTAAAGGGTGTATCCAAATCTGTTACTTTATTGCTTCAAACATCTGAGTTAAATAGTAAACTTAGTCTTTATGATGTCATTGACTTATATGAGGTGGTGGAGAAGTATAGGATTTTCTTGAATTGTATCACAGTATTTTAAAATGTTATGTGACTGTTTCTATTCTTTGAACTAGTATTTACTGAGTTCCTACTTTGGTCAGGGCACTAAGGAAGACATATTTAGAATAATCAAAGAAATTTCTTTTTTTTTTTCTTTTTTCTTTTTTTTTTTTTTTTGCTGGAGTGGTAGAGCTGTGTACTTTTACAGTGAGAGGCAGTATTCCTTCAAAACTACAGAACTGGTATAGATTGACAGAGTGTAACAGGTTAGTTGCTTCTCCAGTTCTCAGGCTGCTGAAACACTGCAGAGAAAGTGGAATTATTGTGCAGCATTGTTGCCTTTACAAATGCTGTTACAGCGAAGTCTTCCTGTTCGCATAAGCATGCCCAGCCATATAAAGACTAAGAACAACCACACGGTTCCCCCTCATGTTTCTCTTTGCACACTTTTATCAGTACCCTGTTTGAGCCCCCAACTTTTCTCCTCTCAGGAAAATGACCTCCTTATCTTTGGCTCTAGCTCTAGATCCCGTCCCTTATACCTGTTCTAAAATGTTGCTCTATCATTTATTCTCTTTCTGTATTTACAACGTCTTCCTCTCCTTTGGTTCCTTCCTCTCTACATGTAAGCTTACTCAAATCTTCCTTATCTTAAAGAGAAAGAACAAAGAGCCATCACTCCCTTTTAAAAACCACACTGTATTTCCTCTTTCCTGTGCAGTCAAATTATTTGAGTTTTTTAATACTCATCCTTTATACTTCTTGAACTGTCATTCACTCCTCAACCCACTGCACTTGAGTTTCTTTTTTCTAAGGCCTTCACCTCCTGGATTTGACAAACTACGATATATTATCCTTATCTTACTTGATGCTTCCATTGTGAAATGATATTCTGCCTTAGTTTCTTTTGTCTTTTGGCTTCTCTTTACCTGTCCAGATGATTCCCAGTGACCTTTGGTATCTTATTTTGTCTTTGCCAGTCACTGCATTGTTGATGTCACTTCACTTCCCCAAGTTTTCCAGACTCTCCTGATGCCACACTTGCCATGCCTACTATGCTGTGCACTTTCTATTTCTTGAGGAAGTTAAGCGGTTTTTAATACATCAGGCCTTTCTTAACTTTTCTTTCCTCTGCCTAGAATATTCTCTTTCTAGTTCTTCTAATGGCTGGCTTCTTTTCACCATTTGGTTCTTGGATCTGTTGTCATCTTTCCTAATCAGTTAACAGTGATTGACCTGCCTCCCCCCGCTTCCCACCGCTCCTATCCCTTTGTAACCTGTTACCCACTTACTTTGTGTCTATAGTATTTAACAGTTTCTGAAGTCCTCCTATTTGCTCCTTGGGGTCAGAGCCCTTGTATGACTGGTTTTCTGCTCCATCCCCAGGAACAAGAACTGGCTGGAATCTCCAATACAACATTGAATCAAAGTGGTGATAGTCAATATCCTGGTCTTGGTCCTGACCTCAGAGACTAGTATTTCACCATTAAGTAGGTTCCTGTAGATACCTGCGGTGAACTTCTAACTGTTATAGAGGATTGATAGATTTCAGCAGTAGAAATTTCAGTAGAAATCAGGGGAAATGAATTTCTAAACATAGGGAAGAACCCCTGGCAGTAATGTAAATGGTCTCCTTTGGCAGTAGATCAAAAGAGGTAGTGGAAGACACATCTTGTCATGATACCTCTCATCTCTTAATGTGTTCCCTGCCATACTGAGTAATGTTACATGTTGAGGGGAACTAGTAGGAGATAAAAGATTAAAAAGTTATGATGGGGCTAAATCATGGAGATGAGAAGAGAATTGGTAGTGGACTGTGTTCTTTCAGCACCAGACAGTGTTCTGGGACAGTACAATCAACATTAACAATTTGAGAAGTCATAAAGAAAAGCTGATTAGGAAAGAGGTGCTTCTTTTGGCAATTAAGTTATATTTTATAATTTGGAACTCATCTTAAAATAATTTTCTTAAAAATGTTATACTGCTACTTAGCAAAAACTTTAGGGCTGAAGGATAAATTTGGGCACCGTTTACAAGGTAAAGGGAGTATATGAGAGTTTTAAGTATTCATATGAAGAAAAATTTAATTCTGCCTCTCAGCTCGGTGACTTTTGGAAATTTAAAATTTTTGGACTTTGATTTCACCAATAAAATTAGAGTTGAACCATATTTGTTTTAATGGTTTTCTTAGTTTTTGTTTTCTTTGACTTTGACAGGCAGGTGAAGGAAAAACTCGTGCCAAATATATGCCCAGTTTAACAAAAAATATTGAAGGCAGAATCATTTTTATGAAAACCATGAAACTCAAAACAATAATCTTCTTTCTGAAATGAGCATGTAGAGGAAGAGAATATGAGAATAGAGCTGACCCAAAGTTCAGTTTTCATTGGCTATCAGTTGTGAAAATCCCCCCTTTCCCCTTGATTTTGGTGACATTTACATTGAAGCAATTCAGGAACAACATTTCCACAGTTCTGATTATTTGCTTTATTTATAGATAAAGAAACTAAGATGGTTATTTGCCAGAACACTGTGGTTACTGAGGAAGCTCTGTCCCTTTTGGGCCACTCATTAAAAAGACTTTGGTTTCTTCACTTCTACAAAGAATATTGTGAAAAGGAGATGTTTTTCCTTTGCCCTCTGTTTTGGCTTCCTTACCCATACCAAACTTTTTAATTTATTCACTCTTCTTAGTTATAAAGCCTTTATATTTGGCCAAATAATTCATAATCTATGTTATCTAGTTTACTTTGCAACTAGTTAAAGAACTTTCAAGAGACACTTTGATTTCTGTGTTTGTAGGGAGGAAAAATTAATCTTAATTGACATGTTGGGCAACAAGACAACTACTTAGTATATGTATACTTTTACATATTTCTTTACTTCTTTTCTTAATATTCTGTGCTTCTAAAATCATCCTTTTTAGATAACTTATATCCATTTTGTAAAAAGTCAGTGAAGCAAAGTGTCAGTTGGAAGGGTTGGAAAGTAGGAGCCACAGCTTACCTGAAAATAAGTGATTGTCTTCTTTTTAAAGATCCCCTGGGGTTTTTCTTCCCTGTACATCCATTTCATTACAAAATCCTGGTTATTTTATATTTTAAATTCCATCAATTCATTCTGTCCTTTTAGTTAGCATTACCTTAATTATCTCTTAAGCCGTCCCTTTTATCAACAAGACCATTGCAGGAACCTTCTGTCAGACTCAGGTGTAAAATTACTCCCTTCCTTTCTCTGTGTTTCTATTGCTGCTATTCAAAATACGCTAAAGGTGTCACTTTCTTCCTTACTACTCTAGTGATTCGTCATCACCCAGAGTGACGGTTCTAAAAAACCCGCGTGCACAAGAATCGCTTAGGGATTTTCTGACTTAATATGTCTAGGGATTCTCATACGATTGTTCTTCGACTCCAAACTTTGAGAAACCCTGAATCATAGTTAATCGCTAACAGCTGTTGAGCTTGCACCGTGTGCCAGGTGCTGATCTAAGTTTGCTTTGTTTGCTAACTCGTTTAATTCTCACCACCATCTTTTGAGGTAGAAACTATTCTCTTTCCTATTATAAGGATGATACCATCAAGGGTAAGTCCAGGCTTGTCATAGCCCTCTGGAGTCCTGACCCATGTCTGTTTTCTTACCGCTCCTTGGTTGTCACCCCTTCTCTTTCCTCTTTGCACTGGAAATCCAGTAATAACAAACTGTATGTTGCCAAAAATACCATTTCTTTTCATGTATTTGCACTCTTACAATGTTTCTATTTCCTGAAGCTTCCTTGTCTTGGCTCTTTCTTTACTCAAGACCTTCTGTTCAGGCATCATCCCTAAGAAGTCTTTCTTAAATACAGCCCTAATTAAATTAGTTAACCCCCATCTATTTCAGAACAATTTGTGCATACTGTGTCATGGGACTGGGAATGGCATTTTCTAGAAATAATTTATGTCTTTTTCTCCTCTCCTTAACTCCTGACTGAAACTGCTTGAGGGTAGAAAACTGGTGATTTTCCTTTGTAACCCCATCATATATTACAATGCCCATGAGAGTAGGAGCTCAGTAAACTATCTTTGTGTGTATACTTTGAAAGTGACTGTGTCTAGATTTATTTGTCTGTGTCATCCTTTCATGTTATATTGGGATAATGTAGATAAATTTATAGAATCTCAAACAATCACTAAATGTGAATCATGGGGAGAGAATTGTATCAGATTAAGATAGTTAAGTGGTGAACTAAAGAATAATGATTGAATAATAAAGGAGATGAATTGTATAGGAAAAGAGAGTCCTAATGTATTTAATTTAAGATCATTATGGGTTCAGGTGAGATTTCTAGGAAGTATATGAGCCATTGTAGTTCTGTTGTAATTTGCTTTTCAGAAATTCTTCTGTCTTGTATTTGCTTATTAGAAAAATTCTTCTGTCTTGTATTTGCTTATTGCTTTCTCTCTCTCTCACTCTCTTCAAAGATTTATTTATTTGACAGGGGAAGGGCAGAAGGAGAGGGAGAGAGAGTCATAAGCAGATACCGCACTGAGTGTGGAGCCTGATACAGGGCTTGATCTCAGGACCCAGAGATCACGACCTGAACCAAAACCAAGAGTCACACACGTAACCAACTGTGCCACCCAGGCACACCCACTTCTCTTTTTAGCATGTACATGAATGTTTGACAGAGATTTGAAAAGAGTAGTATCTAAAGCCAAAGTGGATAGAAACAACTTGATGTGATGGGTGGGCTCTGGACCGTTCATGTCCTGAGACTAATTGTTGGATGGCAGGCTAATAAGGCCCTGCCTTATTTCACAGCTCAGTGATCAATTAAGTAGTTTTAGACTTGACATTTCTAGCCTTTGTTGTCCTACCACATGATGTGAGTGAAGTTTTAATTTGAAATAATAAGTTTTCCTAAAGCTCTTTTTGATGTTATTCTCCTAAAAATGAACACAGTGCTGTCTTTCTTAAGAGCATTACATGCAGCTTTCAGAAATTCTGGAATATTTCATACACTGCATCAATGTATTTAAGTATTTTAGGTATGATTATTTTATGAATTGTTAAGTGTTTATTTTATTTTATTTTTTTATATCGTGATTCATTTTTTAAGTGTTTATTTTTATAAAAATATTACATAGCCATAGAAACTTATTAATATAGTTTCATTTGTTAGGCACAATCAGAATTTAAACAAAACAGGACAATTTTTAGCTCGGTCACGTTCATTTATGTGTATATATATGTTTGGGAGGGTTGGTAACACTACCCTGTAAGTATAAAGAGGCAGTGGAGTAATTTGCTCTATGTCATTTTAGCTGCAGACATTCAATACTGCCGCACCTTGTCAAGATGTCAAACAGCTGACTAATGGAGTTGCCATGGCACAAGTTCTTCATCAGATGTAAGTGGTGGTCTAGACTGATTCTGAAAGAATTGTAAACCCAATACCGAGGAAGAAAGCTTAGACTCACATTCTAAAAGTCACTGAAACTGTATCCTACAAAGTCCTGACAGCCATATGGTACCAAAGCACTATTGCATCTGGAGAACAAAAAAGTTTACCACCTGATGATTCCTTGCTTATTCACAGAGGTCCATCTTAACTTAATGAGCAAACAGAATTCTTATCTATTTAAGAGATTTTAATTTTAAACTTGTTCTGTTCACAGACACACATTATAGTAACTGCAAAATAGTTTAAATGAATGGTATAATTGTTTTCATTTTTTTCCAGTTGTATTACTGTTATTGGAAGCTATCAGTGTGTGAAGATTATTATTTTAGAGATAATTGAAATATAAAGACTGGATTTGGAAAATACTAAATTTTAAAATCTATACTTGAATTAAAAGTAGATCTTCTATAACTCTACCAATAATAAAATGAGGTTTAAAAGAAAGTTGAAGTCACAAATATTGAGGAATCTTAACTAATAATTCTGTTTGGGTTAGACCCATTAGGTATAATCATATAGTATCAAAAGCTCTTAAGTCCATTATTTCCCAATTTTTGCCAAACGTTGTGCAAGGATTATGATTACGATTATAACATCTGCAATAGGAGCTCTACACCTTGTAGGAACAAATGGAGCCAATTTATTAATTGATAGTCATATTGATTTTGTACTTGCTTACTTTTATAATAATCCTTCAATGAGATGAGAATCCTACCTCTGCCACTTGTTTTATAGCCAGAGATTGATTATTTAATTGTTGCCATCGTTTTGTCAAGGTTTGTTGTGATTGAGGTTGAAAACCCTGTAGGTGGATTTCTCACCCTCAGAAAAACAACTTAAAATGTCAAAATTCTAGTTACTTGGCATCTTCAACATGATGTAATTTAAATAGACAGATTTTTTGGTTAACTCAAGATTAACACATTAAGAGACAAACTTAACATGTTAACATTTTTTGGGTAGTCATTCTAAAATATGCCTTCCTCCCCTGTTTTCTTAAAAATGGTTCTTAAACATTTTTTTTATTTATACCCTGATTAGTTTCAAAGTGATTTCATTGGTCAGAAGGAAGCATTCTGGATATTGACTTGGGAAAAGTCCTCATTGTTTTTTGTTGTTAGAATGTGCACCTTGCCTTTTCTCATTGCAGTGTGTTGTGGGTTTTGGTGTAGATGCAGCTACATTGTGGTTGATATGGACTGTAAGGCTGGTATGCATTCTTTGATTCAACAGTGCCATCCAAAGCTCTTATTTATATGTGTTGTGGTGGCTCTGATAGCTTTTCTACTGTAACATAATGGAAGAGACCTGTTTTTGCCAAGATGTGATACAGTGGCTCTTTGACTCCCTATACTTTAGCACTGTACCTAATGTGTAGAGTAGGGCCAATTCAAATTTAAAGTCTACCCTTTATCACCAACTCATTTTCCATAATCTATCTGGTGGATTCTGCAGTCACTGCTGATCCTCTGTCTCTCTGATTTTCCTTTTTTTTTTGTTTTCTTTTTTGTCTCTTATTGTCTACTAATACTTCTCTCCAAAAATAATATAATAGTCAACCCATTAGAAAGCTCTCTTTTTTCATAAAACATAAGACTGGCCTAAAATTGATCGAAACCTCTTTTTTTGCTTTGTTTGGCTGTTTTTGCATGTACTTAGCTGTCTAAGCCTCCTTATCATTTAAGGAATATTTAAAATTTATTTTTCTTTTTCAGTTCCTTTCTTGTTTTGTTCCTTTCCAGAAGTCTGGATTTGGATAGTGAAACTTGGAAGCATACATTTTTTTCCTAGTTGGATCAGTCTCTCATATTCCTGCTAAAAGGGCACATTTTACCATATTTCTTTGAACACTTCAAGCACTTTGTATATGTTACAGTTTATTATGTACTGCATTGATTGCTACTGTGACTCGTATCAAATCACATCAAAGTTGTTACCGAAGATGAGAAGGGAAATTTTGCTTTCTAAGGAAGTAGCAGGATTAAATGAGTAATTCTTTTATTATTCACCTGAGGCAGGTATGCTAAAGAATAAGGTCATAAAATCAATGCCCGGGACACCCAGGTGGCACATTTGGTTACGTGTCTGACTCTTGATTTTGGCTCAGGTCCTGATCTCAGGGCCATGAGATCTAGTGCCACATAAACATCTGCACTCAGCATGGAGTCTGTTTAAGATTCTCTCTCTCTCTCCTCTGACCCCCTCCCCCCATGCTGGCTCACTGCCCCCAAAAAAGAAATCTTTAAAAAAAAGAAATTCAGTGCCCAAACTGTGTAACTTAGACATGGGAATCATGGACTTATCGTTAGGGTTCTACAAGTCCCTAATTATTATCTCTGGTCTGAGTACATAATCTGTGTATATCTCTTTTTAAAATATATGTAGATCTTTAAAAAGCACATGAGGAAAAACTGTAACTACAACTGCATTAGTTTCCTAGGGTTTGCATAACAAAGTGCCACAGAGTAGGTGGCTTAAAACAACAAAAATTTCTTCTCTCATAATTCTGGAGGCTAGAAGTCCTAAATCAAGATATTGGCTGGGCCATCTTCTCTCCAAAGCCTGTAGAGGAGGATCATTCCTTCTTCCAGCTTCTGGGTGTCCCCGCCCCAGCAAAGCTGTAATCTCTTGTCTCTTCTCCATGTGTCTGTCTTCCCTCTCTGTCTGTATGTCCTCTCCTCTTCTTAGAAGGACACCAGTCATATTGGATTAGGGCCTACCCCTAATTTAGTTTGACCTCATCTTAATTTGATTATGTCCGCAGTGACCCTATTTCCAAATAAGGTCACATTCACAGGTGTCAGGGGGTAGGAGATGAACATATCTTTTTGGAGACACAATTCAACCCACTAGAACTATAAATATTATAGCATGTGACTTCCCCTAAAAGGCTTAATTTGGCCACTTTAAACTATAGATAACTTCTCTGCTTGTTTCTTTTGCCTTTGACTAGACATTTTTGCTAGAGCAAAAAGAGTGAGACAAGAATATAGAAACCTAGAGACCTCAAGTACCATGTACTTGTTAGTTCATTCATTTATTCAGCAGATATTTGAGCATTTGAAATGAGAAATCCTGATAGCCAACATCTGAGTATTTATTAAACTATAAAACATTGTTATATACCCTATACAGATGTTATTTCATTTAGTTCTTACTGTTCTGTGAGGTACTCAGATATTCTTCAGTCTATACATGAAGCAGAGGTTAAAGTCAAAGAATAAGGTAATTATCTGAATCCCTGGATTTGCGTAGCTTTGGCCTGACTCTAACACCAGTGCTTGCATTCAGCTGTAATCATTGAAATCTGGTATCTTGAACCTCTCCTGATAGATTTTTACTTTGAGGTCTTAATACATAAAAGGCCAGATGCACATGCATCTGTACAGATCACAGTCTGATGTGTTAAGCAAGTAGCCTTTTGATTATTCAAGAAGCAAAGTGTCAGGGTGTCTGTTGAAGCAAAACAACTATGTTGTGTATAGTAACCCACAGGTGTTAATTACTGCCTGTATGTAGTTGGTTAAAGTGTTGAAGACAAATACCATCATGGAGTTAAAAAATAATTTTTATATTGATTCTTAGTTTTTTTTTTATAAAACAGTTTATCCATATTTTGCTTTCTCAGTCTTATGTCCCCTTATTGGGTGTCCCTTGAGTTTCACTGAAGTTCTGGGAAATATGAGAAAAGGAGCTAAATGTTAGGGCCAAGAGTCTAGTTAAGACATGTAGATGTGGCAATACAAAAAAGCAAAAGAAGGATATGTCCAGAGAGTTATGAGGTTGCATATGAAGTTTAATACTGGGAGAGATTGGCTGCCTTTACAATTGTTTAAGGACAAATCATTCATAAGAAAAGAAAGCAGGATATATATATATATATATATTTTTTTTTTTAAGATTTCATTTATTTATTTATTAAAGATTTTATTTTATTTACTTGACAGAGATCACAAGTAGGCAGAGAGGCAGGCAGAGAGAGGAGGAAGCAGGCTCCCCGCTGAGCAGAGATCCCGATGCAGGTCTCTGTCCCAGGACCCTGGGATCATGACCTGAGCCGAAGGCAGAGGCTTTAACCCGCTGAGCCACCCAGGCGTCCCATGGAGATATATTTTTATGGGGAAGTTAGAAAGCATTTTTCAGTGTATTTTACACTGAATGTTTGTATCCATTCCAAATGTGTGTGTTGAAGCCCTAACCCCTACTGTAGTTGTACTGGAGATGGGGCCTCTGAAAAATAATAAAGGTTAAAGGTCACAAGAGTGGGGCCCTGATCTGATAGGATTATGATCCTTATAGAAGAGACATTAGAGAGCTCACTCGTGTGAGTATACCAAGAAGAGGTCATGTGATCAGTCTGTGAGATGGCTGCCACCTATAAGCCTAGAGAAGAGACCTGAGAGTGAAACCTACCTTGCTAGCATCTTAATCTTGAACTTTTAGCTTCCAGAACTGTGGGAAATAAATTCTGGTTGTGTAAGCCACTTAGTTTGTGGGCTTTGTTACAGAATTTTGAGCAGACTAAGATGCAGGGCTGGAGTTGATTTGGAGTAGAAAAAAAGACAAAGAGAAACATAAGCTAAAAGGAGGAAAGCTAGAAGAGGTTGTGTTGAGATCCATTTTCTAGAGATAATTAAAGAATTATATATGAAGATATCTTTCAGGTCAGTTAGAAGACTGGTTTAGTAGTCAGTGTTCTCCAGAGAAATAGAATCAATAAAACGTGGACATATACAATAGGATGTGTACACATACATAGTGGTGAGAGATGTTTGTATTTAGGAATTGGCTCACATCATTGTGGAGGCTGGCAAGTTCAAAATTCACAGGTCAGGCCAGCAGGCCAGAGATTTAGAGAAGAGCTGATATTGTTAACTAGAGTCCACAGACAATCTATTGCAAGCGTTTACTCCTTCTTGAGGGAGGTTATTCTATTTCTTCAACTGATTGGATGAGGTCCACCCACATCATGGAGGGTAATGTGTTTTATTTAAAGTCCACTGATTTGAATGATAATCTTATCTAAAAAATATTTTCATAGCCACATCCAAGCATGTTTGAACAAAAAATGGCCTAGCCAAGTTGATACATAAAAGTAACCATCACAACTGGGTTACTTACCTATTTTACTTATCTGGTGTCAAAAGAAAGAATTTGCTTTGATACCATTTTGACTCATTACTAAATGGATCAGACTTTTTAGGTAAATACTTGGTTAGAAATATAACATTTATACATCTAGCCAAATTATTATGGTAATTGTAGAACTAGCATCTGGGAGAGGCTAATTCACTCGAAAGAAAATGGGTACAGATTCCACATACATCAGTTAGAAATGGTGAAGACATTTTTGGTTACCCCAATCGGAAGTGCTGTCCTCTGTATTAGAGCATCTGAGGCAGAATGATTTCTGAAAGGCTAGGAACTGTGTTCTAGTTCCAGCTTTACAAATTAAAGCATTGGAAAAGAATCCTTTAATTTCATCCCTCACTTTTGTTGACTTATATGTAAAGTAAAAATTTAGATGAGACTTTGAAGACCTTGGCTAGTACTGTTACTCTGTTTATAGTGTTTGTTTAACCCTCACAGCATTTTTCACATTCTCTTATAGCATTTCTCACATTATCCTTTGAGTATAGTTTTTGTGCTCTTTTTTTCTTTCACTCTGACAGCTGTTTCCGTAAGAGTCATTATTCATCTTCATATTAATCTTGCTCAATTGCTTACTCAGATCAAACATCCAAATATTTGTTTAGAGTATGTATGATCTATTAGCACAGGTCACTATAGCCAAATGTTATTCTTTAAAATCTAAGAAATCAATTTAGCAATTCTTTGTCTTGCCATTCCATATTAATATGACTTAGCTTTACAAGTTTAAAGATTTTTATTTATTTATTTGACAGACAGAGATTACAAGCAGACAGAGGAGATAGGCAGAGAGAGAGGAGGAAGCAGGCTCCCTGTCAAGCAGAGAGCCCGATGCGGGGCTCGATCCCAGGACCCTGGGACCATGACCTGAGCAGAAGGCAGAGGCTTTAACCCACTGAGCCACCCAGGCGCCCCAGCTTTACAAGTTTAAAACTAAATTTGTCCTTGTAGATTTCGCATTACACTTATTCTACTCAATTACAATCAAATAGATTTATTTTGGACTTTGCCATGTACTAGTATCACTTTAGGAAAATCACTTATCTTTTCTCATCTTGTTCCCTGAAGAGTAAGTTTGAGGATAATCATAATCAACCCTTTGCCACTTACTATGATATTGAAATGTTGCACTATGGAAAAACAGCAAACACAGTGCTTGATGCAGAGTAGGCACATTAAAAATGTTAGTTTTCTTCTTTTTTTCCCCCTCTAGGATTGGGACTTTTACATCTGCCTGCCACCAGAGTATCTAATATGACATACTTAGTAAATGTTTATTAAATTGAAAATGTTAATGAATTAAGTAATTTATTATGAGAAATTATAAAAGAAATCCTTAGGAATCACTAAAAATTCAGTGGATTCATTTAAATAATATTTATTATTCTTATTAAGGGGAGGCTTTAGGATATAAAATATTGTTATAACATAATATTTAATTTGGTAGTTTCTATGTAACAAAAACATTTTAATGTTTTCCATTTGTATTTTTGTTTCAGTGATGTAGCTTGGTTCAATGAATCTTGGTTAAGCCGAATTAAAGAGGATATTGGTGACAACTGGAGAATAAAGGTATGCAGAATAAGTAGTAGAAGCACTTAATCCAAACAGTAATTTTAAAATTAACACTAAGATCAATTAAATCTTTTTAAATAAATTAACCTAAGGGTGCATTTTATTGTGTACAGTTTGAGTTTTGACACATGTATATTCCTATGTAACTACCATTGTAAGTAGATGTGGAACATTTCCATTAACCCAAAACATGCACTTATATGCGTCTTCCCAGTTAATCCCCACTCCTCACTTGGTCCATGGATCTGCTTTCTGTCACTATAGATTTCTAGAGTTCCATATAAATGGAATCAGACATATATTCTTTGTTACTCTTTTTGTCTGGCATTTTTCACTCACTCATGTTTTTGAGACTCATCCATGTTGCCTGTGTTAGGAATTCTTTCCTCCCCACCACCCCCCGAGTAGTGTTTCAGTACATTGATACACCACAGTTCGCCTACCCGTTCACCTACTGATGGATCTTGGAATCGTTTCTGTGTTTACCTACTTTGGGTATAATTGCAAGGACATATACCTCATTGTTCTTGAGTAAATTCCTGAATGTGATTGTGTCCCATCATATAGGTATATATTTAACCTTCTAAGAAACTACCAGATGGGATTTTCCATTTCTTCTTTGGTCAGTTTTGTTGTGTCTTGTAGGGCATTTGTGTGTTTCATTTAGGTTATCCAATTTGTTGACATATAGTTGTTCTCAACTATTTTGCTAATAATATATGTTAATGACTATGATCTTTAGTGATATATCTTCTTTCTCTACTGATGTTGGCAATTTATGTCTTGCCTTTTTTTTTTCTTGATAAGTTTGGCTTGACATTTTTCAAGTTTATTTGGTTTCTTTTTAAGAACTAGCTTTTGTTTTCTATTCCATAGATTTCCTCTCTGTATTATTTCCTTTCCTCTACTTACATATTCTTTTATTTCTTGTGTCTTAAAGTGGGAAATGAAATCATAAGTTTTGTCTTTTATTTTCCTAATATTAAACATTGCCTTACACATCCCACACATTTTGACATACTGTGTTTCTGTTTTCTTTCAGTTCAAAATTATTCATTTCCCATGGGGTTTCTTTCAACCCACAGGTAGATTAGAAGTAGGTATTTCAAATTGTAAATATTTGAGGATTTTTAAGGTACTTTTCTTGTATTTATTTATTTCTAATTTAATTCAATTTTTGTTTGAGAACATAACTCTATATTGAGAAATTCTTTTACCTTTATTGAGACTTATTTTATGACCTAACATATGGTCTGTCTGGGTACTGTTCTTTGTGTACCTGAAAACAACATGTATTCTGCAGATGGATTATGTTAAATGTAATGATAGTACTATTGCCTCTTTTATATCTTTATTGATTTTTCTGGCTGATTATTCTATCAGTTATGGAAGAGGAGTCCTTAAATCTCTAATAATGATTATGGATTTGTTGATTTCTCCTTTCAGTTCTGCTAACTTTTAAATCATATGATTTGAATCTCTGTTGTTAAGTTTATATACATTAATTTTTAAATGTCTTCTTGATGAATGAATCTATCATTATCAATGGCCTTTTGTTATCCCCAGCAATCTTTGTTCTGAAGTCCTAATTTGTCATATATTAAATTAATAATTAAAATTAAATTTTATTATTTTTTGCTTTAGTGTATCTTTTTTTAATTCTTTTAATCTATCTTTATATTAGGTCTTTCGTGTAGATGCCTAACAGTTGAGTCTTCCTTTTTTATCTAGAGACATCTCTATTTTTTTCTTTAAGAAAAAGAGAATCTTCCATTTCTCTTCTTATATTCCTGTTTTCATTTAAATCCATGAACATTTTGAACTAGCAGTTTTAACATTATTGTCTTCTTATTCTTTCATCTCTCATTTCTTCGCACATTTCTATTGACTGAGTTTTCTCCTTATGATCCACATTTTCTTGTTTCTTCACATGTGTAGTAGTTTTTATTGGGTGCTAGACAGTATGAATTTCATTGTTGAGCACTGAATTTTGTGTTTTCCTTAAAGGATGTTTGACTTTGTTCTTGCAGGCTGGTAAGATACTTGGTGAATTGGTTTGATCCTTCCAAAGCTTTGAGAGTTAGGAGACAGATCTAGATTTATTTTTCCTCTAGGGCTAGATTAGACCAATTACCAGGGTGTGACCTTTCTGGGTCTTTAGTGAGTGCTTGTGGAGGCAGATAGTCTCTTCACTCTGACTGGTGGGAATTTCAATGTTTTGTGGCCCTGTGTAATCTCTGGGAATTGTTCCACTTAAATTTCCTTGAATTGTTTTTTCTTGGGAGTTATTCTTGACTGGGAAAAAAAATGAAAAAAAAGTGAAATTATTTTTGTTTAATCTCAATGAGTTTCACCCATGCACATGTGAATTGGTATTCAGCTGAAAGTGACAAACCACTATGCAGATTTCTGAAGCATTTTCTCTCCATAGTGCTTACCTCTTTATTTGTCTGCCCTGCAAATTCTAACTCCCTTGACCTTCCTGAACTTCTGATGTCTATCTCCTCAACTCAGCGAGAACATTAGGCTTTGTTTAGTTTCTACCACTTTATTTCATGGAATGAAAATTGTCTCCCGAGAGAAATCTTGGACTAGAGTTGGGCTCATCTTTTTTGTTTTTCTTCTCTCAGAAATTAGAGTTCCACAGTGTCTAGTGGGTAAAGCTTGGAAAACATTGTTCCTTGCATTTTGTCCTGTTTTCTGTTGTTTGTGTCAAGAGAATAAGTAGAAACCCTGTTACTCACTCATAACTTGGAGATGGAGGTGCTCATAGCTAAATCTTTAAAGTTGGTACTCTACTGCAGCTCACTTTAAGTAGAACTACTCTGGTTAACCTACTTAAAGCTCACTTTAAGTAGAACTACTCTGGTTAAAGTACTCTGGTTAACCTAACTACTCTGGTTAACTTTTTAATGAGCTAAAAAAAAAAAAAAAAGGTTAACCTACAGAAGCATGAAGACATTTTTAATCAAACTTTGATCAAAGATTTCATGTTTAAAAATATCATATGCTTGTATTTATAAAACTCTAATATATGTTTTTTTGTTGTCATTTTTATGAGGCCAGAGTTTGTATTTGTCTTTCACCTTGGCATAAATTTTCTTTCATTACTAATTTGAAATAACTTATTGAATTCTTACTCTTTTTTCCCCCACTAGGCTAGTAATTTAAAGAAGGTACTTCAAGGAATTATGAGTTATTACAGTGAGGTATGAAAAATATCTGACTTTGTTTAAATACAGAATGCTATATGATATTTATATTGACACCAAAAAAAATAACCTGGATTTTTGTTTATAACATCTTACTAAAATGTAATTCATAATTAGAATATATTGTTTTTTTGCTATTTTCAGAACACTCAAATTTTGTGAACATGAACAGGCTTAAACATAATATATCGATTTGTAAAATAATGTTGCTTCTATATTAATACTTTTGATATTTGTTATTTTCTCCAAGAGAATTACCTTCATTTCTAAATGATTTGATTTTATGCAATGCTATAAAGTAGACTTTATAATTAAATTGAAGTTTTTCCTATGGAAAGTATTATTTTGACATTTCTTCTCAATGCAAATAGCAGCAAAAGTATACTGTGAAATTATGCTTTTGTGCAAGTAAATTAGGAAAAAGGCAAAATGAAAGTAGTATTAGTGTCACTTCAGATAGTACTATTCAAGTAGGTTTTTTTTTCTTATTCAGTACCATAACAAGTTCTCCAGTATGATTATTTGATATGAGAACGCTTATTGCTTATGTTTGAAAACTTTTGGTTTGCTTTTGCCATCAAAAGACCTGGTTTCTATTTTTTAAAGTTGTCACATATTTATACTTGTAATTTTTTCCAGTAATTTTAAGACTGAAATTTTTCAACCTATTAATGCCTCAAACTCATTTTAGACCTATTTTAATGCCAAGAAAACTTTTTAATGAGCTAAAAAAAAAAAAAAAAAAAAAGGAAAGATAAAGCCAGGAAACATTAATCCAGTTAGATTTGCTGTTTTTGCTGTTCATTTGCAAGTGTGATGGTTTATATTGTGGTTTTCTATTAATCAGTCATGCACCAAAATATGCTTATCTTTCAGCTTAACATAAATCTGTTTATTTTTGGAAAGGCCTAAATTTTGTCATAAAAGATCAGTCTAGGGCTTTCTTAATCCCTCTGATGGTGGGATCAAAGGATATTGGATGTAAAACCATTTTAGTTGTTGTTGGTTGGTTACTCAAAATTCTGGGATGCTGCTTGAGCTTTGCTAACTGGTCTTAGTCAATAATTATGGATTTATCAATTAATTTATCTGAGCCATTTCACGATCCTATTTTTAATTTGTTTTCCTTGTAATAATTAAAGGTAATAAATTCTTTGTAGTCTACAGAAATGAGTGATCTAATTTATTGTCTCAATACTGCAGTTTTTGGGGCAGCAGATTTCTGAAGAACTTATCCCTGATTTAAACCAAATAACTGAATGTTCGGATTCTGTGGAGCTTGGGAGATTGCTCCAGCTTATTTTAGGTTGTGCAGTCAATTGTGAAAAGAAGCAAGGTAAGTGAATTTCAATCAATTCAAAGTTTATTTGGGGAAGTTTGCTTTCTAGAAACAACCTACATTGTTATAGAAAGTAGCACAACAATTTACTATTGTATCTTGTCACAGAGCACCTGGAAATGTAACCCAGGAGATCTTAAGCCTAGCCCAGTTCTATCATTAAAAAGCCACAAATCTTGAGTATTCTATTAGTACCTGGATTCTGAGATTTATAGTCAGTGACCGAATTAAATGTGTTTTAGTTTAATTAATTTACTTTTATATTCAGTGCTTAGGACTTAGTGGGTATTCAGTAAAAATTTTACTTATTTATCTGATATGTTTTTCTGTTTCACATGTAAGAAGCTTAGGTTGATTCAGATTTTTGTAAATAAATATGCAGATACTAAATTATAATCCAGGCCTCTTCGAGTGATACTCTGCTCTTTTCCGAAGAATGCCTGTCTAGTGTATCCTCCAGTTAAGCAGTCTGATGACCTAAATGGAATCGGTATATTCTAGTGGTAGATACAAACGGTGTGATCCATATCCTTATGAGTACAAAAGATCCATTTTGGTTGGCTGTAGTGAAGTGATGAACTGAACAGACCAAGATTTACTTCCCTCAGGGCTTACATCAGGCTGGGTGGTGAGATTTTTGATGCTGATGTTTTTTGAATGGGCAGACATACCTGGTCTTAGTATGGTCTTAGTACATCACCTTTATAAGAATATGTTGGGTACTTAAGTTTGTATAGTACTTTAAACCAGGACCTTAGAAGACAAATTCAGTCTAACTAATGAAGTAAGAGTATGAGACAGGCTAAATTCAGTAAGAACAAATTTAGGACAGAGAAAAAGAAAACGAATGAAATTAATTTCTTGTTGCTAAAAAAGAACAAGGATTGGGTATCAGAAAACTTCGGTATTAGTCCATCTCTGTCATCAGCTAGCTATTTTTTTTTCCCTAGGGCAGGTGTTTTTCGATAGGCGTTTATTTTTCACTTAGAGGTAGTGTCAAAGATCTATATATTGGGTTTTTCCCCACAAAAGAAGGAGAATTTGCTCATGGTCAATGTCCATAAATGTTTAATTACATATTGACAATAGCAATTAATTTATGAATCTAGAATTTTTCTGTTCTTATCCTTCTTATTTTTTTATTTAATTAATGCTTCATTTCTATTTCAGTTACTGGTTATTTATAACCTATTTTTGTTTAATTTTATTTTTATTTTATTTTTTATTTTTATTGACGTATTGTTGACATTCATTAGTTTCAGGTGCATAATAAATTGGTTTGACAATTCTGTACATGACTCAGAGCTCACCAGGAGAAGTTTAGTTACCATCTATCAGCATACAGTGTGATTGCAGTATTATTTAATGTATTCCCTACACTCTACTTTCGAGCGCTGTGACTCATTTATTTTATGAGGGGGACTTTGTACCGTTTAATCCCTTCTGTCTGCTTAACCCATCCTCTCGCTCACCCCTTCTCTGACAACCACCAGCTGGTGCTGGGTTGAGGAGTTCGTTTGTTCTGTTCTGTTCTGTTCTCTTCCGGTTTGGTTTAGATTCCGCACGTAAGTGAAATCATACGGTATTTGTCTTTGTGTGACTTACCTCACTTACCATTATGCCTTTTGGATCCATCCATGTGGTTGAAAATGCCAGATCTCATTCTTCTTTTAGGACTAAGTAATACTCCGTTACGTGTGTGTGTGTGTGCTACATCTTCTCTGTTCATCTATTGACAGACGTTTGGGCTGCTTTCATATCTTGGCTATGATAAATAATGCTGCAAGTAAACACAGGGGTGCATATATCTTTTTGATTTAGTGTTTCGGTTTTCTTTGGGTAAATACCCAACAGTGGAACTACGGGATCATGTGGAATTTCTCTTTGTTTTTGAGAAACCTCCATACTGTCATCCATGTTGACTGCACCAATTTGTAGTCCTATCAGTAGTACACGAGTGTTCCTTTTTCTCCACATCCTCACCAACACTTGTTTCTTGTGTTTTTTATTTTAGCCATTCTGACTGTTGTGAGGTAGTATCTCATTGTGCTTTTGATTTACATTTCTGTGATGACTAGTGTTGTTAATCATCTTTTCATGTATCTGATGGCCATTTGTATTTATTTTCTGGAAAAGTGTTCAGGCCCTCTGTTCATTCTTTAATGAGAATGTTTGTACTTTTGGTGTTGAGTTGTAGGAGTTTTTTGCATATTTTGTATATTAACCCCTTATTGGATACATCACTTACAAATATCTTCTCTTGTTTAGTAGGTTGCCTTTTCGTTTTGTTGATGGCTTCCTTTGCTATGGAAATGCTTTTGTTTTTGTACAGTCCCAGTAGTTTGTTTTTGCTTATGTTTCGCTTGGCTGAGGAGACATATCCATAAATATGTTGCTAAGTCCAAGAGATTACAGCCTATGTGTTCTCTTAGGAATTTTATGGTTTTAGGTCTTCAATCCATTTTGAGTTTATTTTTGTGTATGGTGTAAGAAAGGGGTCCAGTTTCATTATTTCACATGTAGCTGTCTAGTTTCCCCAGAATCACTTATTGAAGAAACTGTCTTTACTCCATTGTATATTCTTGCCTCCTTTGTCATAGATTAATTGGCCATAGGGGTGTGGGTTTATTTCTAGGCTCTGTAGCCTTTTGCATTGATCTATGTGTCTGTTGTTAAGCCAGTACCAGACTATTTTGATTACTACATCTTTGTAGTATGTCTTGAAATCTGGGATTCTGATACCTCCAGCCTTCTTTTTTCTCAAGATTTCTTTGGATATTCAAGGTTTCTAGTGATTCCATAGCGTTTTAGGTTTATTTGTTTTACTTCTGTGAATAATGCTGTTGGTATTTTGATAGGGATTGCAATGAATCTAGATGGCTTTGGGTATTATGGACATTTTAACAGTATTAATTCTTTCAGTCTGTGAGTATGGTATATCTTTCTGTTGGTTTGTGTCATCTTCAATTTCTTTCATCAATTTCTTAAAGATTTCAGAATATAAGTCTTTCACTTCCTTGGTTAAATTTATTCCTAGGTATTTTATTTTGGTGCAATTGTAAGTGGGATTTTCTTTTTTTTTTTTTTTTTTAAAGATTTTATTTATTTATTTGACAGACAGAGATCACAAGTAGACAGAGAGGCAGGCAGAGAGAGAGAGAGGGAAGCAGGCTCCCTGCTGAGCAGAGAGCCCGATGCGGGACTCGATCCCAGGACCCTGAGATCATGACCTGAGCCGAAGGCAGCGGCTTAACCCACTGAGCCACCCAGGCGCCCTGTAAGTGGGATTTTCTTAATATCTGTTCCTGCTACTTCATTATTAGTATATAGAAACAAAACAGATTTCTATATATTAATTTTGTATCCTGCAATTTTACTGAATTTATTTATTCTGATAGTTTTTTGGTAGAATCATTAGTGTTTTCCATATATAGTAGCATGTCATCTGCAAATAGTAACAGGTTAACTTCTTCTTTACCACTTTAGGTGCCTTTTATTTCCTTTCTTGTCTGCTTGTTACAGTGAGGACTTCCAGTACTATGTCAAATAAAAGTAGTGAGAATGGAAATCCTTATCTTGATATTGATCTTGAGGAAAAACTTTGTTTTACCATTAAGCATGATGTTACCTGTGGGATTTTTAGATATGTCCTTTATTATGTTGCAATACGTTCTCTCTAAACCTACTTTGTTGAGGGTTTTTATCATGAGTGAATATTGTACTTTGTCAAACGATTTTCTGCATCTGTTGAGATGATCGCATGGTTTTTATCCTTCCTCTTGTTGATGTGATGTATCACATTGATTTGTGACTACTGTACCATCTTTGGGTGCCTGGAATAAAGCTCACTTAATCATGGTGAATGTTCCTTTTAATGTGTTATTGAATGTGGTTTGCTAATATATATATATTTTTTGCATATTCTTTTTTTTTTTAATTTCTTTTCAGTGTAACAGTATTCATTGTTTTTGCACCACACCCAGTGCTCCATGCAATCCATGCCCTCTCCAGTACCCACCACCTGGTTCCCCCAACCTCCCACCCCCACCCCTTCAAAGCCCTCAGATTGTTTTTCAGAGTCCATAGTCTCTCATGGTTCACCTTCCAATTTCCCTCAGCTCCCTTCTCCTCTCCATCTCCCCTTGTCCTCCATGCTATTTGTTATGCTCCACAAATAAGTGAAACCGTATGATAATTGACTCTCTCTGCTTGACTTATTTCACTCAGCATAATCTCCTCCAGTCCTGTCCATGTTGATACAAAAGTTGGGTATTCATCCTTTCTGATGGAGGCATAATACTCCATAGTGTATATGGACCACATCTTCCTTATCCATTCGTCCATTGAAGGGCATCTTGGTTTTTTCCACAGTTTGGCGACCGTGGCCATTGCTGTGGTTTGCTAATGTTTTGTTGAGAATTTTTGCATCTACGAACATCGGAGATATTGACCTCTAATTTTCTTTTTTTGTAGTGTCTCTCTCTGGTTTTGATATCAAGGTCATGCTGGCCTCATAGAATGAATTTGGAAGTTTTCCTCCTATTTTTTTTGGAATAGTTTGATAAGAATAGGTATTAACTACTCTTTAAATGTTTGGTAGAATTTACCTGTGAAGCCAGCTTGTTTTGGATGTTTGTTAATTGGAAGTTATTTTTTTTTATTACTGATTCAGTTTCATTACTTAGAATAGGTCTGTTTAAATTTTTTTATTTCTTCCTGATTCCATTTTGAAAAATTGTATGTTTCTAGGAATTTATCCATTCATTTCTTACAAGTTGTCTAATATATTGGCATATAATTTTTCAAAATATTCTCTTGTAATTCTTTGTATTTCTGTGGTTGTCAGTTACTGTTTCTCCTTCTTCGTTTCTGATTTTTAAAAATTTTTTAAAAAATTTTATTTATTTATTAGAAAGAGAGAGAGAGAATGAGAGGGGAGAAGGTCAGAGGGAGAAGCAGACTCCCCATGGATCTGGGAGCCCGATGTGGGACTCGATCCTGGGACTCTGGGATCATGACCTGAGCTGAAGGCAGTTGGTTAACCAACTGAGCCACCCAGGCGGCCCATTTCTGATTTTATTTATTTGAGTTGACTCTGTTTTTCTTGATGAAACTGGTTAAAGGCTTCTCCATTTTATGTTTTTAAATCAACTTATGGTTTCATTGATTATTTCTATGGTTTTTTAGCGTCTTTTTTTTTTCACTCCAATCTTTATTATTTCCTTTCTTCAACTATCTTTGGCTTTTGTTTACTCTTCCTTTCCTAGTTTCTTTAGGTATACTGTTAAGTTGCTTGAGACTTGTTTCTTGAGGTGGGCCTGGTTCACTATAAACTTCCATCTTACAACTGCTTTTGCTGTATTCCAAAGATTTTGGACTGTTGTGTTTTGGTTACCGTTGTGTCTCCATGTATTTTTTTTTTTATTTCCTCTGATTCTTTGTTAACCCATTGATAGTTGAATAGCATGTTGTTTAGCCTCCTTGTATGTGTGTTCTTTTCCTTTCTTTCTTTCTTTTTTTTTTTTTTTTAACACATCTTTATACATTTTAGGGAGAATTGAGTTCAAAATGATTCCAAGGTATAGCAACAATCTCAGTTTTGAAAGAGTGAATTTGTTTGGCTAGTAGTACCCGGTTTATCTTGATGGGGGGAAAAATAATTTTTTTTGAAGGTTTTAGCAGGCTTGAAACACTCCATTTTCCAGAAAATCCAGTTAAAGGAAACAGTTGCATCTCTGTCCTTTCTCTACTTAATTCTTCCCCTTTCCCAACCACTCCCTACTTAGTGGTCAGGTGCATACCAGAATCTATCAGAATCTTTGTCCGGTTCTTGGCTTTACAAATAAAAGAAAGACAGAGAACTTTCAGAAGTTTTCCAGAAGAATTATTAAAACAATAAAAGCTTTTGAAAATAGTAAGGTTTTTTTTTTTTAAATTTGGAATTTTTTGGAAATTGTTTTAGCTGGAGAACGTAATTGTAGTGGATTATGCAAATTTATGAAATATGCAAAAATATGAAACTTTTTTTCTTATGGTTCCTCATTTCTTATTGGGACAGAATCAACTTACTGCCTGTGTGTGGTAAGGCATAGATGAGGCTTGATGAATATCGAGCACGCGTTTAAGGAGGTTATATAAGTCCCTTCTTTAAAAGCCTTCCTGAAATGAACTAAGTAGGTGATAAAATGTAACTTTCTAGGCCGAAGATTTAGGAATTCACTTAATATGTATGGATTCATCCTGTAATACTGAATATCTAACAACAGGGAGGAAATTGTCATAATTGTTTTAAGATTATAATTTCTTCTCTCTCTTCCTTATAAGAAAATTAGAGGATTCTTCTTTATGAAAAATAAAATGTTTAAGAATATGAATATTTTTAGTTCTGATTATCTGATTTTAATGGACATATTTCTTGTGGAAAAATACTTACATAAAGAAGTGTGTATAATAAATGAATTTTTATGCTGTTAATTGAATGACTAAAGTTCCATGGGTAAAGATTAGATTTTTATCAGATTTGTTTGTTTTTGAATCACAGAACATATTCAAAATATAATGACACTGGAAGAATCTGTTCAACATGTGGTCATGACTGCTATTCAAGAGGTAAGTTTTTATTTTGTTTACATATATATGAAAATCCTTAACCAAATGACACAAAATTTTTCACATAAGTCTTATGGATGTATGTTTTTCTATTTGTACAAACTTGCCCCTTGCGGCAGGTTTACTTATCTTAAGCTAGTGTGTCTTCTTTCTTTTCTTTACCTAGAATATCTTAAAAAGACTTCAAGCCCAATTTTAGTTCTTCCGTATTTTAAAAGATTATAATGTTAGGTTCCCTTAGATAACTTCACCTAAGCAGGATAAATAACCTCTAACCAGAAAAGAATTTTTATTTCTTCTTTTTTCCCTGCCAATGAGAACAGTCTTTTTCAAAATGGTAAAGCATGTGTGTAAATATATCTTGTGTTCATTTTCAGAACGTTAATACTGTGAGCAAATAATGGTGGGTGATATGTTTGGAAGCGAGGTAGCCTGGGTTCAAGGCAGTCCAGTTGTATAAAGTCATCCAGAAGGATTCAGTATTCACATGGTACATGTTGATTCTTAACATCAGCCTGAAAGACTGAGATGATGTAGAATGCAGAAGAAACCTAGGGATTAGGGAGGGCAAGCATAGTTTGGCAGGGGCATGGTTTGGAGGGAGACCTCTCGCAGGAAGTTAGTTTGTGTGCTTTGAGTTTGCATTGTTGGCTTGAATTTAAAGCATCACAACCATAAATTTGCCTTTCAGGTGCAAAAATGTTATTTTTTATAGGTTCCGTTTTTCTCATATAATTGTAATTCCTACTTTTTTTTTTTGAAGATTTTATTTATTTATTTGACAGAGATCACAAGTAGGCAGAGAGGCAGGCAGAGAGAGAGGGAAGCAAGCAGGCTTCTTGCTGAGCAGAGAGCCTGATGTGAGGCTCCGTCCCAGGACCCTGGGACCATGACCTGAGCCAAAAGCAGAGGCTTTAACCCACTGAGCCACCCAGGTGCCCTGTAATTCCTCCTTTAAAAATGACTTCTCATGGGGCGCCTGGGTGGCTCAGTGGGTTAAAGCCTCTGCTTTCGGCTCAGGTCATGGTCTCAGGGTCCTGGGATCGAGCCCCGCATCGGGCTCTCTGCTCAGCAGGGAGCCTGCTTCCTCCTCTCTCTCTCTCTCTGCCTGCCTCTCTGCCTACTTGTGATCTTTGTCTGTCAAATAAATAAATAAAATCTTTAAAAAAAAAAAAAAAGACTTCTCAGATTAGGAATTTTACCATATCACTCATTTAAAGGCAGTATTTTAAAAGTGTTATTTTATGGAAGAATCTTTATTATTATTATTATTTTTTATCAATTTTATTTAGTAGTTCATCTTTTAGAACTTAGATTGTAATTTTTAAATATATAGGTGTTTTAAATATATTTCTGTATTTCAAGTACACTTTACTTCTGATGTGTTCACTGATGTAACAGTTGAACATTGTGTTATTTAACTTAAGCCTCTAATAAAATTTTTATTTGAACAATATTCTAAGGTTCATCAAATTATGACAAAGGAAAACTAACTAAAACATCTTACTCTCCTTTCAAGTAAGCCTATTTTTACTTCATAACATCTCTTTATTGTACTTAAGTTTACTATTTTAATTTCCTAGTTGATGAGTAAAGAAATATTGAGCTCTCCTATGAATGATGCTGTTGGAGAATTAGAGCAACAGGTGAGTATCTCAGTAATTGGGGAAAATGTTGAAAACAGTCATACAATTGCTTGGCCAATTAATATCATAAGGCTTTCATTGGAGAACATTTAGAAAAATATTTTTCTCCATGAAATTTAGGTTGTTTATTCTGTAATATCTCAGCTGAATATTATTATGCATTCCTTCATGACTGCAAGTAGTGTTGGTCTCCAGAATTTTTTATGCTCATATTCAAAGAGTTGAGTGACATTGAACTTTTCTTCTGAAACTTGTAATACATATGTGGCTCATTCTAGATGGTTACACTGTTAATAGTAGACAATGTAAAAATTCTGCTGATTTCTAATTTATCTAATAAGTTAACATAATTTTTGTCTTGTTGAAGAAACAGCGCCAAGACCCTGTGCTCAGGGCTCTTTTCCCTGGTTCTATGACATGCCTGTTTCACTTGGGCAAAAAGGCAATCTCCTCTGAAATGTAACCCAACCTGGGTTGTAGGGGAAAGGGTATAATGACAGGCAAATGATCTAGTGCTATTTCTGTTATATTTTTGAACATCTGTTTTTCATGAGTATCACCTCTCTCTCATGAAATATTTCAAAACTTTTTCTATGAAATTTTTACTTGAATTTAAACATACCGTGTTTTTTCTAAATTTTTTTGTGATGAAATTAAACAATATCCTCTAATATGCTGTGGTTTAAAGATTTCATAAGGAGTGTTCTGTGAAAGGGGAGGAGGTTAGCACTTCCTTTGACAAGGGTGGAGGAGGCCCATGGGCATGATAGCACACAACATAGTTAAGGCTTTGCCACCTATTTCATAGCATCTGAGCATCGTTTCATTGTTGTTATTGAATCATTATGTTGTATACTTGAAACTAATATGATAGTGTATGTTAATGATATTTCAGTTTTTAAAAAATGCACATTGAACCAAAAAATTTTTTTTCATTAAGATTTATATAAAATTTTATTTCTGTGGGACTGTGGCCTTAAACATTAATGAGACTGTGTGAATATTATTGACAGAAAAACAACATTGAGACTCAGTTGTTAATAGGTGAATTTTTAAAAAGTTTTTATTTAAAGTCCAGTTAGTTAACATACTGTCTAATATTGGTCTCAGGTGTACAGTATAGTGATTCAGCAGTTCCATACACCACCCGGTGCTCATCATGACAAGTGCCCTCCTTACTCCCCATGGCCTATTTCACCCATCCCCCAACCCATTTCCCATCTGGTAACCATCAGCTTGTTCTCTATAGCTAACTTATAAAATTCAAAGAACAAATAATCCAATTAAAAAATGAGCAGAAGACATGAATAGACATTTTTCCAAAGCAGACATTCAGATGCCCAGCAGACACATGAGAATATGTTCAACATCACTGATCATCAGTGAGATGCAAATCAAAACTATAATGAATGCCTTCTTTACTGCTACATCCATACAGTTGAGCACTGTTGAGAAAAGTACAGCCATTTGTTTGAATATAAATGCATGATTTCCATCCACAGTTAGCCCTTCACCATTGTTCTGTACTAATCAACACCTCCCATTACCCAAACAGCTATTTCACACAACCGTCTATTTGCATAAGGCCACTACCTTAAAATGTTCCTGCCGACCCTGAGTAGTCAGTTATTTATTGAGTGTCCCCTATGTGCCAGAGACACTGTGCTCAGTCCTTTTCCTATATTGTGTAATTGGCCTGGTAACCCTAGAAAGTTTCAAATGGAGACTTGTTAATACATTTGCGTAACCATGTTTAATATAGTGTGTATACGTCTATTCAATTTGTGTCAAAACACGTCTTCTTAAGAATCAGGACATTTTGTGTTTCAGCTTAAAAGGGCATTGGAAGAACTTCAAGAAGCACTAGCAGAAAAAGAAGAGCTGAGGCAAAGATGCCAAGAACTAGATATGCAGGTGCGGAAAAGAACCTGTCTGAGAAAAAGGTCCTCTTTGTGAAGGTTTTATTGTAAATAATTCACCGGTAACATGTTTTGGAGGTGGGGTTCCATTTCATGGAGGGCAAATTTAAAGTATTTGTTACACGTTTGAATATTCAAGTATGAATTTCATAATTATTTTTCTCTAAGAGTTGAAAATTGCTAACTTTACTCCTTTGAGGAAATCATTTTAATTGTAGAATTTCAGGTATTTATATGAGCCTTTAGGTTCTTTCGTAAAAAGAAGAAATTAACATACCAACTGCAGAGAGTGTGAATATATAAGTGAGGTCATTTATGGAAGTATTTAAAAAGTGCTTGGAACCCCCCCCATAAATGCGAGTACCAAGTAAGTTTTGCTAACATGCATGTATCTGAACATGTGTATATAATTCTTGAGTTCATATGCACATATGTGTTGGCAAAATAAACTTACTCTGAGAAACAGTAGTTAGTAGTGGGGTAGATTGTCAAACCAGCCCACTTAGACCAGGCCATGCTACTAGCTGATTGTGTCCTCTCAGGCAAATTACTTAATTTCTTTATAGTTTAGTTTTCTCTTTTGAGAAATGATATGATGATAGTATATATCTCCAGAGTGATTATGAGGATTAAATGAGTTAATATATGTCAAGCACTTAGAGCAGGACCTGACACACGTAAGTGCTATGTGTGTTTGCATGTATTGTTATTGTTAAATGAAAATGCATATGCAAAAGTTATGCAGTAAGTCTTGAAAAATTATGCAAAAGGGTAGATATACCATCATAATATGCTGTATATAAATTGCATGTTTTTGTTCAAATAATGAGTTACATAAATAATTTTACTCTCTGCAAAGTATGAAGACAAGGAACAAGGAACAAGGAACAACTCACTTCTCACCCTTTGCTTCTTTCAGTTTTCTTTCACTGGACTGAGGAGGAGTGACTAAGAGCCTAGGGGACCGGACTCCCTTTTTAAAAAAAAAATTGTTTTTTTTAAGATTTTATTTATTGACACAGAAAAGAGATCACAAGCAGAGAGAGTGGCAGGCAAGGGAGAGGGAGAAGCATGCTCTCTGCTGAGCAGAGACCCTGATGTGGGGCTCGATCCCAGGACCCCAGGATCATGACCTGAACCAAAGACAGATGCTTAACCGACTGAGCCACCCGGGCTGACTCCTGATAAAAACAAAGGCTGTAGAGCTACATACTGCATTAGGGGAATGGTCTGAGGCCTAAAGAAATGCCTTCGTGGGAATGAGATACACTTTTCACACCCTGGTAGAAGGTATTTAAACCTCAGACATGAGAACATAGCTCAGGTGTTACAAAAAAACATTGCCTGTCGCCTCAGCTCACCCACCTCCTTCCCTAACCATTCACAAGGCTGTAGAATGGTGTGGAGGGAAAACAGTCCCAACGATAACTTAGAAGAGAAGATATACTGGAACTTTGGTACAGTAGAGAGGGTGTCCAGGAAGTCTTCAACTACACTGAAAATATAGGGTGTCTTAAATGCCACTGAAGCATGATTTAGATGAAAAGAATAAAAGTATGGCATTGGTGCAAACATTTCAGGTTAAAGAGCATGTAAAAGACTTTAGCCAAGCTTAGGAAATAAACTTTGCTTCATGTTTTGTAACAATTTCATAGGAACACATCAGTAAAATAGACTAGGTGGTAGAACAACAAAGTGAGGTTTAAAAAGAAGTTGTAGATTTGTAGAAACAAATCATTGAATAATGTTGAACACCAGGCTTTATCCTAGGTAAGATATTGAACTTCAAGAATAAAGGGGAATAAGTACCTAGTCACTCAGGTTGAGAAGGCACACTGCCCGCGAAGACAAAATCAGTCTCCCCTACGAATTGAATGCCAGAGTATGGAAGTGCGGTATCTGCAGAGTGTCTAGGCAAGGAAGCAGCCCTGCACCTGGACAGAGTTCAGATGCAGACTCACGAGCCCTTTTTTTTTTTTTTTTTTAAAGATTTTATTTATTTGACAGAGAGAGATCACAAGTAGAGAGAGAGAGAGAGAGGAGGAAGCAGGCTCACTGCCTAGCAGAGAGCCCGATGTGGGACTCGATCCCAGGACCCTGAGATCATGACCTGAGCCGAAGGCAGAGGCTTAACCCACTGAGCCACCCAGGCACCCCAAGACCACCCTACTTAAGAATGTTTGGATCAACCAGGAAATCAAAGAAGAACTTAAACAATTCATTTAAACCAACAAGAATGAAAACACATTAGTCCAAAACCTATGGGATACAGCAAAGGCAGTCCTAAGGGGGAAATACATAGCCATCCAAGCCTCCCTCAAAAACGTAAAAAAAATCCAGAATGCACAAGCTCTCTTTACACCTTAAAGAACTGGAAAACCAACAACAGATTAAGCCATCCCCATGCACAAGAAGGGAAATAATCAAGATTAGAGCAGAGATCATTGAGTTAGAAAATAGAGATACAGTAAAACACATCAATGAAACTAGAAGCTGATTCTTTGAAAGAATCAATGAGCTCAATAAACCACTGGCCAAACTAATCCAAAAGAAAAGGGAGAAGACCCAAGTTAATAAAATTATGAATGAAAGGGGAGAGATCACGACTTTATTATCAACAGTTACATGCCAATAAGTTAAGCAACCTAGAAAAAATGTATGCATAAACTTATACACTTCCCAGACTGAATCAGGAAGAAATTAACAACCCGAATCTAGTAATGAGACTGAAGCAATGATCCAAAACCTCCCAAAAAACAAGAGCCCAGGACCTGACGGATTCCCTGGGGAATTCTACCAAACATTCAAAGAAGAAATAATACC